AAGTGCTAAAATAAAGATCTTATGGCTAAAATACTTTTTTTCATCTTTAAGTTAGTTTTTTTTCAAAATTTTGGTCTAACTTAACGAAAACAAGATTAAATTCCAAATTAATTTATTTTTACATCGCAATGTTTGACTTTTAAAATCATAATCATTCACGAAAAAATATTTGGCAAAAAAATGATGTATAATAATGAAATGAAGTCTTAAAGTAAGAAAAAATTTTGATGAGTGAATATATTGACAATGCTGAGTTGCAGTAAAAATTGAATTGACAAAGTGAATACATATAAAGTGGTGTGAAATTTGATTTACTGACGGAGGTGGATTGTGGTTAGCCTTAGAGAAAGAGAGCCTCAAAACCGGAAAAAACGGGAGAAGAATGGATTGCAGACGGCTAGAAAAACGGGAGGGGTAAAAATGGTTAAAAAAATATGGCATATTTAAATGGTTACGTATATACTTACTAGCTTGGGCACGCGCGTTGCGCGACGGACGATGCCCAATGATGGTAAAAACAAACGAGAAAACTGCACGTAAATTCGACAAACCGCCGTTTTTGTGAAAGCAAAACGCTACATTTTGTAGCGGATTGGTTCCAACCCGCTGAAATACAAACAGGGCCAAAGATAGCTAAACAAAAAGGGACGGCGGTAGTAATAATCTGGAAGTTTTTTAAACTAAAGTCTAATGCACACAGGGGTGGACCTATATTAATAGCAATGGGGGCACATGCCCCCAATAAATTCCCAACAATTACTTTAAAAAATTAGACTTAACAAAAAATTAGTGAACGTGCACCCAACAAAAAATAACAGATGCCCCCATTAATTTGATCTAGCACCTTAAACTTCGTAAGGCCATATTATTGTCAAAGTACGAGTAGTACGACTATTCGAGAAGCAATAAATTACTTATATTAAGATTTTGAAATCCAAAAGTGATTTTAAATAAAATAAAAACTCACACTAGCTATTTCAGATCACAACAGTATGTACCATGTCATTTAAGGTTCTCCATCTAGTTCTCTAAAAAATCATGCTACGTATTTTATTTATAAATGTCTCATTAACTTTGTCTCTAACTATACTTGATAATATTTATGTGACTCTTAGTCATTTATAATTTTTAATAAAATCATTGAGCGTGTTTGAGATTTAGCGGTTATCGAATAATGGATTATGTCAGCGGGTTGTCAATAACGGATTCAATCAGCAGATTTGAGTAGTGAATAAGTTGACGGGTAGCAACATGTTTGGTAATTTAGCTATTTGGCTATAATAATTAGTAGTAAATGTCATATTTCAAAATGCTAATCCAAAACTCTCTTATTTGCAGTGTTTCCTTTTCACCGATTTCATTCAAAAATGCTAGAGCGAACAACTATTTACCAAACAACGTTTTCACTTATTGAGAATGCCAAAAGGGGTCAAACCACCATTTTTTGGTCAAAACGTCATTTTCCAAACAGCCCCATTATTTCACTTTCTTTAGGGCGTGCCTCATAGAATCAATATATAAATATACTAGAAGGAAAATAATAATATTATAAAATTAGTAATGTAATTGGATTGCATCGGAAATGCGTAACACAAAAAATTCAAATAATATTATAAAATTAGTAATGTAATTGGATTGCATCTGTATAACTGTATTCGCTCTGGTTGAGTGGTTGGCAGAGGTGTTCGGGTCAGATTTACCCAATTCGGGTGCCCCTAACACTAAGAATTTCTGGATCCGCCACTGAATGCACATACCAAAGGCTATGCAGTTCTAAGGAATACAAAGCATTCTTATACTTGGTCAAAAATTAGTGAACCCATTGAGTAAATCTTGGTGCTGTTAGAAAAGATAAGCTACCTGCATAAGAAAAATACAGTTGACACTAACATATAGTTTTCCCAAAGGGTATGAACATAATTAATTAAACAAATCATTGGCCTCTCCTGGCACACCTCACTAATGCTCTTGTGTTCTTTTTCGATCCATGTTGAAGATGTATAAGAAAGATTTGTACACATGATCATCACTTTGGAAACGCTTCTGCGGGAAATTAAAGCCCAGAGTACATCAATTACTTGCCATGCAGCAGGTTATAATCAAAATTACATCATAATTCATAACTTCCACTACAACAAGGTGACCTTTATCGATCTTGTTCACAAAGCTTATAGCTTCTTCAAACTCAACAGTCCTTTTCTGAGGAACTGCCTCCTCATCAGTAAAGGTTATTTCATAGCCTTTTGGCAAGAAGGTATTGAACCTTCTTCGAATAGCTATCTACCAATATACAAATTCTGAGATATAGGTCCCATTTGGAAAGGTTTATTTGGTTAAAATTACCGATGGATCTCCACAATTGTTTGAAAGGAAAAGTATAGTGCACCATCCATTTCAGCCAAATTAAGTGAAGTCAAAACAACTTACTCTATATTTTGATCATTTGCTTATCTTGACAACCAGAATAGGCAAATAGCCAAACAACTTCTTTTTCTACTTTCTTTCTGTTTTTGCATTGTAAGCTCTCTTTAATTTTTCAATAAATTTCCCTTTTGAAAAAAAATCAATGACCTCTCTTATACATATGGCAAAAAGTGTATATACTCTGTAGTTTCTTGACAATTATACATATTTTTACATTTCCTTCTTTCCAGCATAAAAATGCACCCTTTAGCTATCCAGAAAACAAGCTCATGTGCTCTAGCTTTAAATGTTTTAATTGGTCATAAAGTAATAACCTTAAATAGAAAAGATTTTGTAGTGAAGGCTTTGCGAAAGAATAAGGCAAGCTGAGACCTGACTCTTTAAGAAATACGAATAAATGTAAAGCTTGTAGGCATGAAGTAAAAATTACCTAGATGGGATAATTAAGTAGATAACATAACATAGTATAAAACCCATAAATCATGTATTCATATTTCATGAATGATATATGACATAAGAAATCAATTGCACTTCAATTTATTACTTCTTCAGCAAGAATCCATTGTTACGTAAAGTACAAAATTTGCACAATGGATGCAAGAGTTGGTTCATGAGTATGATAAATAGATGAAGTTCCATGTATCTGCATTCAACTTTGGCCATTAAAAGCACAAAATTAGATACAACCAACTCCTCTAGAGAGTAGGGAGGGACGGGGGTCATCTTAAATGGAGTTCCAACTCAAAAGACAAAACGGAAGCAGGCAACTTACATGAATTTCAACCTCAAGTCCCTCAGTTTTGACAAGTCGCGTTAGCATGACATTCTATGTCCAGCCCTTGCAACCATAGCCCCCCATATACTTGTTCCTTCATAACCCAATATGCTATGTATAATTGATAGAGTTGTATTTTTATCATGTATTATTTCTATTTTAACTAGTTTTATTTGTTGTTGTTTGGAAAATTACACACTTTTGGTGTAATTAGTTAATTTTCTTAGATAGATGTAATTTGTTTAGATTAGGATTATTCTGAGCTTAAAACAGGTCAAGATCATCCAAAGGATCAAGTTTGGACCCCAAAAGATCAAGGAAAGTGCAAGGGGACAAGATCAAAAGAAGATTGAAAAAATATTTCATATACCCGGTCGGGTATAGGCAATACCCGATCGGGTATTGAGTTGATTCGGGTGTCAAAATCAGAATCTGGAGAGATCTGGAGAGACAAAAAAACGTGCAGGATTTTGAAGATTTGGCTCATACCCGATCGGGTATGCCTTCATACCCGATAGGGTATGTCTAGAAAAGTGATTTTCCGGGAAACTGCCTAAAATACCCGATCGAGTACCCTATATACCCGGTCGGGTACACCACCCTGCTACCTTCAAACACCTATAAATACACCCCTTTTCCTTCACAATAAGATCACTCCTTCTTCCATACTCTTAAGCTCAGTTTAGAATAATATTTCTTTTATATTTTTATAGCATGTTTAGTCTCCAAATGAGGAGCTAAACTTTCATTTCTTGGTATTGCTCTTGAAGCTTGTTGATTATTAAAGTTGTGAGTTATTTTCTTAACTTCTTTTCCTTGAATATTAATTCTTCCTTTAAATACTATTTCTATATCAATGTTGGGGAGTGTTACTAAGATGACAATTAGTTAACATCTTGACATTGGTCTTAGTAATAGCTATTCCTTCCTCTATGTTAATATCGGGGAGTGTTACTAAGATGACAATTAGTTAACATCTTGATATTAACTATAGTAGGATTCATCTTCTTTAATATTCTTCCTTGAGTATTAATTAATTCCTATTCATATTTCATATTAATATTTTGAACATTACTTAAAGGATCAACTAGTTTTGTTTCACATATTAATTATTACTAGAAACGATCAACAAACCGATGGTTAATCGTTGATAGTTTCATAAGTAAGTAACTTCGGTTTATTAATGCACGGTCGTGGTTAATAAACTTAAGAGGGATTAATTTTGTTGGTTAAACCGAAACCGTTGTGTTGAGGTTATCAATCTCAATTGATTTCATCAAGGAGTTAAAAGATTAAATGCTACTATCAAGTCGGTATATGGCGTTGTTCTATACTTGACTAATAGTAAGGGTTATTAATGAACGGTCGTTGTTAATAACTATCCTCGATGAATTGGATATACTCCTCGATTGAGTATTCGAGAGGAGATAAGTTATAGATATAACAATGATCGACTAAAATATATCAACAAGTGTAAAGTAGCAATACCAAGTCCCTTTTATCTTTGAATTAAACCATATAACTCGTTCATCTTCGTGTTTAATTTAATCAAATCACTCGATCAAAACCCCCCCTTTATTTACTAGTTACATAAAAAGAAGAGTTATTCCTTTCCCTGTGGATACGAATTCTACTACGCTATACTACGTATTAGTGCTAGTATTGAAATTTACTTTGAGTGCACACACGACAAAGTGCACGTCAATAATTGTCAAAAAAAAAAACAAAGGGGATGCAACTATTCTCATAGATGATTCTGGAAAATTTGTATTGGCCATCTTTTTTCCAATTCAAGCTCAGTCAGTTCTCCACGCAGAATTCGAGGCAATCTACATTTCGCTGGAGTGGAGTCTTAGAAATAATCTCTAAGATTTCCAGATTGAAGCTGACTCTAAAATCGCTGTTAACCTCCTGAACGGTAATACCAGCCCTCCGGATTACTTGAAGAAGATGGTGCATGATAGAAAAAAAGTTTGTAATAACCTTCACATAGTTTGACCCTAAAAGTTTGGTAATTAGCTATGCTTGGATAAAAGACTAAAATGAGTTTGAGGTCAAAAAGGAAATAAAGTTTTATACAGCCATTTGATATCTATTTAATTTTTCAGAATTAAATAAATATTGAAGTAAAAGAAAAACCGACATCAGTATAATTTAAATGAAAATACAAGTTGGGAAAAAAATGAAGGAAAAGAAAATTTTCCAAACAAACAACTCAATGAGAAAAATTCACGAACACCTAGAGTGTTTCATTTTTATATAACAAGGGAGGGAGCAATCGTACCTCTAGAAGGGTGGAGGCGTACTTCATAGCATATGATAATCGGCCCCAAATTTCTTTTTTCTTCTTACACTGAAAATGAAACGAAATAAAAAGAAAAGCAAACAAAAAAAGAGAAGAAATTCTAGCTAACAACAACAAAATGAGTGGCAGTGGTGGACAGAGAACCATACCTCTAGGAAGGTGGGGGTACTTCATCTTCATGACTTCATCACATTTGAGAATCAGCCCCGGACCTCTCTCTCATCCTTATACTAGAAATGAAATGAAATAGAAACAAAAAGAAACAAAAGCGGAAGAGAAACCTTAGCATAGCCGATGACATCTAGTGAGAGGCGCTGGTTACTGGATGTCTTGTTACCTGACATTAGAGATGCTCATTTAGAGACATATATATATATATATATATATATATATATATATATATATATATATATATGCTGCCAAAACCTCATAAATACAAGACATACAAGCCCACAAAAAAGCACAGTCTAGGGAAATTAAAAAACTGACTTAGGCTCAAGAGCGAATAAAACACACTCATACGGAGAACAATGTGTTTCATATTACGGATTAAATCAATACAAAACCAACCTATAATATCAAACGTGGTTTTGATTTACCTTCTCAAAAAATAGAACCGTGTCGGGTTGGGCATTTGCAACCACATTCATGAATATATATGCCCAGCTGAGCATAGGTTATGTTTTTCATTCAATCTTGAGGAGTGTCAAACCATGTTTCTTTCTCTCTTCTCTTCCTACTATCATTATAAATGCTCATAATCTGCAGCAAAATAAGCTGAGAATAAAGTAGAGAAATGGATATTGTGACTGAGATAGATGCAGATGAACTGATCCTACAGGAAGATATGGAAGATGCGATGAAATTCTCAGTAAAGGGGCTTCAAAGACTGTTTATAGAGCTTTTGATGAGTATGAGGGAATAGAAGTAGCCTGGAATCAGGTTAAACTTTATGACTTTATGCAAAACTCAGAAGATCTTGAGAGGTTATATTGTGAAATTAGCATGCTGAAGACCCTAAAACACAAGAACATCATGAAATTTTACACTTTCTGGGTCGATGTTGAGAACAGGAACATCAACTTTGTGACTGAAATGTTCACCTCTGGTACATTAAGACAGTATCGTCTGAAACACAAGAAGGTTAACATTAGAGCAGTAAAGCATTGGTGCAAGCAGATATCAGAAGGCCTTATGTTCCTCCATAGTTGTGACCCCCCTGTCATACATAGAGACCTCAAGTGCGACAACATCTTTATTAACGGTAACCAGGGGGAGGGTCAAGATTGGTGATTAAAGACTATGAGACTATGAGAATGACATTAGGCAAGATATGAGGTGGATTAAGGCCAAGTATGCAATGCAGTTGAGGACCTAACCTAACCTGGGTTCTAGGGAGTGTCGTCGGTTGGCCAACAACAACCTCAAGCTCTTGTGTTATACTACAGACTTTGTTGAACCCACCCGCTTCCACTCTGCTTTTGTTCCTGAGATAAAAAAATAAAATAGAATGTCATGAGTTGAAAACATCAAAAGGTTTAACACAAGGTGAAAATACTATAACAGCCTGAATAGGGAAATTTTAAAATAAACGATGGACAAGACCAGGTTTTACACCTAACTGACAGAAGACATGAATTAGAAAATATAATAAAACACGTCATTTATTCAAATAAGAAACTAAGAAGATAATTAAATAATACCAGATTACCAGTAGTGTAGCTCAGGCAGGACAAAGCCTGGAATCAACATTAGGCAACCTATTTTTTCAACAACAAAATTAAAATTGGCAATATATAGAAAACAAATCAAAGTACCAGAAAATAGATGTAGCATTTACAAAGAGGCTTTGCGCTTTTGCTTAAATTTTATGTTGACCACTCTATTTCCAATTCTTTCAGTTTGCCTTAATCAAATCATAATAGGAGAAATAATTATAGTTAAACACACCATAAAATGAAGAAATTAAATATGCAGGGCAGGAATTGACTGATCCAAAATGCACAATGAAATATCACAATATATCAGCACAACAAGAACATCATATGGAAATAATAAATGGTGTTTGAAATTTATACAGTGACTATTTAGAAGGATTCAACCGGACTATTAATATCAGTGTCGTCTCTTTGGGCAAAGTCAGGAGCTAAGCTCACATCCACTATGAATGTTATCATTCTCGTGTTCATTAGGGATAAAAACACATACTCTTCACTTGTTAAAATAACAATCACAAGGAAAACCATATACCTTTACATGTTCATCTAATTATCTCTTTAGTGCAACTTAAACTGTGACACCGCTCCCAATTTAAACTTGGATTTATTAATACATTTATATTAAAATCTAAGTGGAGGTATAAATACTAAATTCGACAAGGATGACTAGTTAAAGTCATGATTATATATTCACTTTGAAGACTAGTTACAAGTATATTGATCATACTAGAAATGATTAATTGATTAAATTAATACCGGTTAATTAAATTGTGAGTCGGACCCCAAACATGGGGAGGGACTAACTAATATATATTCTTGGACCAAGATAAATTAAATAAAAAGCCCAAGGATAAGGAAGTATGTAATATATAATTGTTCGGACTGAATAAAAGGTAAATAAATAATATGAGAGATCATTCGAGCCCACTTACTGAAAATAGAAATATAAATGGGTTTGAGCCCGGAATATTGGAGAGAACTATCCAATACATTTTAGGACCGACCTATTAAGGTCTAATATAAATAAATGAGTAGAAGTCATTCGGGCGCGACCGAGATATATCAAGTAACCAAAGTGGTGTTCTTGCCCATATTACCGAAAATAGCAAGTATAAGGTTGAAGGGTTTCCTACACTTTAATTCGGGGTATCCCATATAAAGTGTAACCCATAATAAACGGGGGGATTAATTTATAAATAGCTTCGGGCCGGATTAATTAAAAGAAAGCAGCCCGTGAACACAACCCAACCCATTAGCCCAACTTTCTATTAATAGAAAGGATAAGGGGTGGGAAGACTCATCCCCTCATTTTTGGGTCTTCACACATTCTTGAGCAAGGAAGAAAAAGGAAAGTGATTCCGGGAAGAAGAGAGCTCGATTCTAGGTAACCGAATACTATCCCCGATTAAACTAATTATTTAGTATGTTTAGTGAATATGATTTTTAAGAAATCATATGTTTGATTAATGAAGATGTTCTACACGTTTAAAAGTGTAGAAATATGATATAAAGTGTTGGTAATTAACTTAGAAGAGTTGTTGAATCGATAGGAATCGAAATCGCCGGAAACCGCCACTTCTAGGTCTAGTTTTCGTGCAGCAGGGCCCGAAAGCCGGGCGGCTTTTGCCCTCTGCCAGCCAATGTTGTTTCAAATCACTCCCGATCGAAGGTTTAACGATGGGGCTTCAATAGGCAACCTTGCTGGACATATCCAAGGTGAGGATGGCTGACTATATTGTCTATAACTCGTGAGTTGAGCATGAGATTACCTAAGTAATCAAATTATGATTTTGATGGAATTAAATGATATACTTCCATGTGAATAAATGTGTTGATATGTGGTCATATAAATTGAGATACATGATATTACAAAGGTGGATAAGCAAAGGTATTATGCATGAGGGGAGAAATCCTTGAAATATATTAATTATTGAATTGATATTGAGGCTTAGAATGATATAGACAAATGTTGATAAATGTGTGATTCCATAAGATCTAAAAAGGGATATATGGATACCTATGTGGATAGGCAAAGTGATTAAATGTGAAGTAAGGAATACTTGAGTTATTGATATGATCAAAGTGATATGAATCCGTAGTGATTAATTGTGTGTGCTATCTATAGTGTTCAATAAGATAGGCATGAACTTAGAATGAGTGATGGACTACGGTCACACTCAAAGGAAATGGTGGAGTCTACCGAGACTATATGAAGGCAGCCCGGGGAGTCTTGATGAAGACTAGCCCGAGGTTGATAGATTATGATTGCTCGCATACTATGAGTATACGGGGATATATACGGGGTGTGTAAATCCTAAACGAATGAAACATATACGGGGTGTGTAAGCCCTACATGAATAAAGTATTACGCGGGGTGGGTAAGCCCTAACGAGATAAAGGATATTACGCGGGGTGTGTAAGCCCTACATGAATAAAGTATTACGCGGGGTGTGTAAGCCCTAACGAGATAAAGGATATTACGCGGGGTGTGTAAGCCCTACACGAATAAAATATTACGCGGGGTGTGTAAGCCCTAACGGATAAAGGATACTACGCGGGGTGTGTAAGCCCTACATGAATAAGGTATTATACGGGGTGTGTAAGCCCTACACGAATAAAATATTACGCGGGGTGTGTAAGCCCTAATGAGTAAAGTATTATTCGGGGTGTGTAAGCCCTACACGAACTAAGATTATACGGGGTGTGTAAGCCCTAAATGAATCAAAGATATTATATTGGGTGTGTAAGCCCAAAATGAATGAATACACCGTAAGGTGTGTAAGTCCAACGTGGATGAGTACAAAGGATAATTTGTGTAACCCTCTCGATGGAGTTGGGTTTAGACTAGGGGTGAGGTAACCTCTCGAGATTGCTATATGCTAGAATAGGTCAAGGGCTATACAAGGGGAATTGTTTTGAAATACAAATGGACCTACGGGTTGACTATTTGACTTGGTATATATATTCTATACAAGTGATTTGAAATGGGGTAGTTATAGGTTATGCCCATAATATAGTATCACCCTATGTTGAAGGTCTTGTGTTTGAAACATGAATTATATTCAGTATAGTTGTCATTGTACTTGTCAAATGCTTCCAAGTACTGACCTTCCCTTCACGGGGGAGGCCACCTCACAGTTTTCAGGTAGAAGCTAGAGCTTGCTTTCTGTTCCCGTTGCTTCGGGTGATCTATGGAGAGAAGACGTGGTTCGTGCTTCTTCCAGTTCTATTTTGATATAAATAAAATAATGCTCATGGGACTATTTAACTGTAAATGATTTGAGAGCCTGCGTGCTCATGCTCGCCTTGTGTGGCATTTGATTTTTTTAATAGTATTTGTATTCCGCTGCGTATTTTGAAATGCTTTACTTATGATTGTTTATGGATGTACTTGTGTGAATGGTATTCATGTACGCCTTGCACGGTCAGAGTAAGGTGAACTACGGTTGCCTTAACCGGATTGTGCGGCGGTTGTTAGCGTGTCCGGCCAGACCGGGGCGTGACATAAACCTTATTTTGTGACTTGCGAGATATTATGCAAATGACTGAAAAAGCAAGAGAAAGGTAGCTTGGCTACTTTGATTGGATGCAGCCGCTGAGTTTGGTGATTCTCTTTTTAACCTGCAAAACAAAGTCCATCATATGGATAAAAAAAATTAAAATTAAGATATGAAAGTTTATACTTGAGATATAAAATAAAAAAAAGTAACAAAAGTTCCTCTAATGGCTTCTATAGGAGATGAAAAAAGTAGTAGAAATAAACAACTATATTATACTTCATCCTCTCATATTTAGAAACTTGCTATTCTGTATTTGAGGCAAGAAACAAATTAGCATATATGAAATGGCGATAAGAAGTGAATGGATCTCTTTCCTTCACTACGAATTGAACAATTTCAAAGGAATTCACAGCCTCCAATCTCAGACATAACAATGTAGCTCAAACATAATTGCCTCAAGCCTAGGATGAATAGAAATAGACGGTATAACATAGTATGTTATTTTAAAATTCTGAATAACTTAACATAATTGCCTCAACCAAAATGTGTAGTTAACAACTTAACATATTATAAGTTATAACCATATGTCCAAAGATGCTTTCATAAATTTATCATTCCAGGAAAATGGCCAAATAGTGAAAGAACACAATATACCTTCAGAAACAACTTTAGAACAACCACATAATCTCGGGTTGATAAATTCAGGCACCTATCCAAGACCACCTGAGAATAGGAAAATCATAAAAAATCAAGTGACAGAAATAGGTTTTGCAACTAAACTATTTTTTTTTTTGAATAATTGCAACTAAACTAATTAATTAACCTCAGAGAAACAATTTAGAAAATACAATAAAACATGTCATTTATTCAAATAAGAAACAAAGAAGACAACAAAACAGTAACAGCCGTGTAGCACTCAAGATAGCCTGAAATTAACATTGAGAAATCATATTTTCCATCCATAAAAGTTAAAATTGTCAATAAATAGAAAAAAATCTAAGTAGCAGATAATAGTCATAATATTTGCATAGGGTTTTCCTAAATTTGACGTATGAGTTCTCCACTTTCAATTCCTTCTATTTATGTTAGCCAAAGCATAATAAAAATAAATTTGTAGTTAAAAACACCATAAAAATGAATCAATAGGCGGACTGGGATCGATTTGAGAAAAACCCTATAAACTTTGGGAGAGAACTAAAAGAAAGCAGCTTGAATCCCTTATTAGCATGCGTCATGTTGCAATTTTTAATGTTTCGACTAATATCTTAACAAATAAGGAAAATTCAGACAAAAATCATATCAATCAACCTACAAACCTTTGAAACCGAAAGATGTGCTGAACAGTGAGCTTATACGAAGAACGGACGCAGAGAGGAGGAGGAGAAAACCAAGAAACGAATGAAGCTTTACGTCTGGCTGGAGGAGCAACGGAAGGAGATATTATTTAGCCCGAAGAAGCTCATCCGCATATTGGAACAGTTGCAAACAGGACCGAACAGTACCGGCCAACGGCTGGCCACACGTAATTACTAAACCGCGAACACGAAATGGAGAAGCGATCGTTTCTCCCAGCTGCGCCAATCTCAAGCTCCCGTCAACACTGCACAAACGGAAATAGGCCAACTAACCTTCTGAGAACTTTTATATGTATAGTAAGATTTATACTGTGAATTATCACCTGAAGGAAAGTTTCAACACAAATTCTTCAATTTTCTTATCTAGAGAGGCATATAGTAGTACCCCGATACTCAGAATGGAGAAAGTGTCATATCAACTATCATTACAAGATGAGATGCTTCTTCCACTATGAGCAAGCTCAACCTAGAAAATAATCAAAAAACCACTCAATCATGTTTTATTATATGATTTACAGCAACAAAAATCAGTCATTGAAAAAAACACCAACTAAATCAAATGATCTTACATGTTTTATTACTCTTAATCGACACCCAGAAAACAACCAAACAAACACTCACTAAGAAAAATCACAAAACACTCACTTCCAATTGTTTCAATGTTTCTGCCTTTTTTACTCTTCATATTATACAAATGAAGCAACATTGAATTTAACAGAAAGATAGACAATTGAATGAAAAACAAAATAAAAGAAGAAATCCTACCTCAGGTAGGTGATGCATTCACTTCTAAAACATCCACACTCAATCTTAATTTATGGACTGGGATGACAAATCGGGTACTGCTACAAGCATGGGTGTCTCATAGAGAGCTTTAGTTAGCCACAATCAGAAAAACATGGGCAGAGCTTCAACTCTTCAAAGCCGGACTTGTTGGTGCTAGGGTTACCAGAACTCCCAATTCATAAGCAAACAGATATAAATTGTGAATAAACAAGGAAAAGGAAATGGCATGAACAAGGAAAATGAAATGAAATGAAATAGAAAGAAAATTATGCAAATGAGAAGAAAACTACCATGACAGCTTGTTTCAGACCCGGAGCAATTCTTGGCAGGAGATGATGAGTGGCAGTCCATGAGGAGTTTCTTTGAGAACAAGACGATGCAACCCTTCGTCCACTGAGTATGTCTCTGAGAGCTTGTTTGCAACGGCGACTTTTAGGCACCGAGGTTTTGTGTCGTTTGTTGGCCGAAGGGTTATCCAAGGGAAGATGAGAGAAGATTTCCGAAGAGAAAAATGAGGATAGAAGATGAGCGATGTTGAGATGTCGAGTGAGGGGAGAACGAGAGGCTTCTGTAAATCCACGTCTGGCAAACGGAGGTAGCAAACGGAGGTTGTATACAGGGCTAATAATCGAAGACGGCTATAATGGAATAGAACCATAGTAACTCTCTTAGGCTCTTTATAGGAGTGTTTTCCATTGCTTAATAAAAGTGCTTTTGAGCTTTTTGCTTAAAAAAAGTTGAAAGGGGTGTTTTCAAATGACAGCTTCTGCTTAAATTAATCACTTAAAAGCTAAAAGCTGGAAGCAGGTGGAAGGATGCTTTAAACTGCATTTCACTTTTCATATTACACAAAAAGCACTTATTTTACCAAACACTACCAATTTTTACTTTTTCAGAATTAGTTTTTTCTCAAACACTACCAACTTTTACTATTAAGTACTTTCTCCAAAATCAATTTAAAAAATCACTTTTTAAAAGTAGAAGGAATCGCAAAAACCGAATTGACAAACCAAATAACCAATCATCTATAATCGGAATTCCAGCAGCTACATTCATCCATCCCTGCCCACATTAAAACCGTTTCCATCTCCGGTCACCACCCAAGGAGTGCTGCGACTGCCATTTCACATTTTCACAGCTCTTCGTGAACACCTTACCCCCCACACGCATATTCCACGCATTTTACATTCATCATACTCTGCTTTTACGAACGCATACCCGCGGCAATGGTTCGAATCCATGTGTAATGTACGTTGAGTGTTCTCTCTCGGGAAAATGGAGGAAGAATTGCTGAAGCGGAGCACTGATTGCGTCTACTTCTTAGCATCACCTCTCACTTGCAAAAAGGTAGACTTCCCCCTCTGCGGTGCTCTGTAATTTGTATTTTCTGCTCTTTCCTTTCCGCTCTGCAATTTATGCAATTGTGGACATCACTTTGACAGTCTTCCTTTAGGATACAATTATTAGATACGTAGTATTTTTCTGGGATTCTCATTCAATCTGAGCTTGGGCCTTGGAATATTGTCTACATTTATTTAATGTACTCCGTATATGTTTTTGCTTGCATAATTGCTCGTGTGTGAAAGGCGATTGGACTTTACCTAACATTGAGTATGGTCATTTTGTCTTAATAGATAGCATTTTACTGTTGCAAAACCAGGAATCTCTTCCTCTCTCTTGAATTATGATTTCTTTCTCGTATTACTGCATTCTACTTTTATATACGGAGTATGAGTTTGTGAAGGGACCTCAGATTACTTCTCCACAGCTCATTGAGTTATTGTTTGTTACTGTTCAAGAACAATTGTCCAGTAGTACTGCGTTCTTGTGAATGCTTTAATTGCTTTGGTCTGAACTGCACTTAGGATTTGGATTGAATTCCTTTTCTGGTATTAGGTGTTAGACATATGGAGTCGTTCATTAGATATCATCCGGGATTGATTGGGCCATTAGTCAATATTTTCTTTAGAAGAATAGAAGCCTTACAAAGTCATACTTTATTCATTAGTTAATTAAAATCCAACACAAACTATAGTGAGTGCTGCCATTGGTTTTCCATCTGAATCACATGAAACTGAAGTTGCATCTTCCAAATGCAACTTCCATGTGACCTGCTTGCAGTCGTCGAGTCATGTTTCTCAATTATCTAATGTGCACCAAACTTTGAAAAATTCAACTTCAACTTCTCAGTTATCTCCCAAATGCAACTTCCATGTAATCAATTCACACAATCGTCTCTTCTAACTATTGAAATACTTGACCCTCAATATCTGGGCCCACTGATGGCAATTGGAAGTGCTGTACTCCTGGTTAGTTTATAAACTACTCATGGTTGTCAATGGCGCGCCATGGCGCTTGCGCCATGCGCCATGAGGCGCGGAAAAGGCCTCTGCGCCATCAAATGGGCAGTGGCGTTGGGTATACACATGGCGTTGCCATTGTGTCGGCATCACCATTTTATCGCCATTGCCATGGCGATGCGTAGGCTATTTTAAAAAAACTGCGGACATTTGGTTTGGGATTTTGGGGCTGTTGGGCCTGCTGAACGCTAACTTAATAAAACTAAATAAAACCTAATATTTTAGCCCATTATAAACACACAAAGCCCATTATTAACAACCCTAACAGTTATAAAGTACTTTATAGTTTTTACTTTATAGTTTATGTTTGATTGTTTATGTTAAAATGAAGTTTTAACTAAGAGCTTTAGTTAAAACTCTTAGTTTAGCTGCATCAACAAGCTTGTAAAGTTTAGCTGTTTATAGCTAAAAAACAATTATTGAAAGGGAATTGTAGCTAACTGTAAGGTTAGCTAAACTTTACAGTTAAGTTGACAACCTGCATCTTATTATAACTAAGAAAAAAGTTGAGCTAAACTTCCTAACTTGGATACAAGTTATAACACTCCCTAAAAATTTCTTAGTTATAACATTCATAACTAAGAAATTTATCAAAGCTCTTAAACAACTTTAGTATAGCTTTAGTTAAATCCTTCTGTTGTATAAAAAAATAGCTTTAGTTAAAACTCTTAGGCTTCAATGAAGTTTAGCTGTTTATAGCTAAAAAAACAATTCTCATTTGAAGTTTAGTTTAATTTAACTAAGTAACTAACTGAAGAACAATAGTTTAGTTTAACTAACTGAAAGAGTTTTGACTTTATAGTTTATGTTAAAATGAAGTTTTTACTTTATAGTTTTTACTTCAGCAGTTCAGCTAACTTTATAGTTTATACAGGTATAAAGTACTCATATAACTTCAGTTTACAAACAATTTTCTTTGCACTTAGCACTCTTAAACTGTATGCTAGCAGTTAGCACTTATAAGTACTTTATAATATTATAAAGTTGATGAGGATGGTGTGCCATTGCTATCAGATTCAGACCAAGATGATGAGGAGTGCGATGATTGATGATGATTATGCCATAATCATCAAACAAAAACAAGCTAACAAGCCTAAATCCTAATATATTTTGCAAGACATGAAACTTTTTTTTTGAATATTATCTTTTTGGAAGTACTTTAAACTATTTTAACTTCACATGTTTTGCTTAGAATGTTATTATTCAACTTTTTTATCATGTTTTGATGGTTGGGTTGATGAATTGCAGTGTCTATCATTCATTTTGAAGTTTTTTTTGTCATGTGGGCATGTGGCGACGCCATATTTGCGCCATCGCCATCGCCATGGGAAATGGCTTGTGCCATGCGCCATGACAACTATGAAACTACTCAAATCTAGTTCTCTAAATTGCGCACCAAACTTTGACAAATTGTAGACACTGCCACATATTTCATAAAGGCCAAAGATGGGAATACATAGATATCAAATGACTCATTTCTAATCCACTTGTATTTTTTGTGACATCGACAACAAAAGCAGTAGGTAAGGTGTGGGTGAGTGGTAATTCAAAAATACTATGTGGATTCTGATAGCAGCTCTTATCCTACCACTTTTCGATTACAAATTGAGAGATTGGTCCAGCTTCAAACAAGGAAGACCCAAGAAGATCCATTTAACTGGAAATTTTATTGCAACTTATGGTGATTAAATGAGGACAAAATGATAGTATGTGTTGGGGGTTGGCTTAACCTACAGTTAGCAGGAGTGCAGGACTTTCTGACATGTTCACAGCCTCATAGAAACTCAAGCAAGGACTCCAATAAAAAATAACAGCTCTGCTGGTATGAAAAATATTAACAAAAGTGAAATGTTGTATAAACATTATGAACTGGAGGATGACCTTTAATGGCATTTTCTGCTCATGAAATTTAGTAATTCATCGGCACTTTCAAGAAGACATAGTTTTGGTAAAATATGGATAAATTATAGAATGATGTATTCTTAGAAGTTTTTCCTGGTTATTTATGGTTAATGGATATGTTATGGGAAATTGACCTAAATAGGCCTAAAAACGTTTGTGTATTCCAAAATAGGACTGTCCTGTTTTTATTGCCTAAATAAGAGTAATTATTACCATATTTTGGCAGTACCAGACTTTAAACATGACAATATTTTCCAAACATGACAGTAATTACTTCTATTTAGGGAATAAAAACATGACAATCCTATTTTGAAATTCTTAAACGTTTTTACTCCTATTTCGGAAATTTTCCCATATGTTATTGCAACAAACACTAATATTTTTTGTGGATGTGTAATAGACTTATTAGTTTTGCAAAGAGTTGATACATCCTAACGTGAATAAGGGAGTGTTTTCCATTGCTTTAATCATAATGCTTCCAAGCTACTGCATCTGCTTAAATCAAGCACTTTAAAGTTGAAAGCTAGAAGCAGGTGGAAAGGTGCTTTAAATTGCTTTTCACTTTTTCTATTACACAAAAAGTGCTTTTTAGCAAACACACTAACTTTTATTTTATCAAAATCACGTTTCTTTCAAACATCACCAACTTTTACTATTAATCACATTTCATATAATCTCTAAACTAATCACTTCTCAAAAGTACAAGCAAACACAAACACTCCTTAAGTGAGTATTAGTATTCCTATACTGTTTGTGGCTGTGTTTTATCTCGTCTGCTTGCTTTTTAATTTTTTCCTTTGTTTTGTTTATTTGCTTTTTTTTTCTGCACATATGAGAGCTCTTGCACCGCACTATGTATTGATGTATTTTTATTTTTTTATAGTAATTTGATTGAAGTGTCGACTTTCATCAGCATTTGGGGCTTGTTAGAAAAATGATGACATATTTCTGGATTTCAGGGCATTGAATGTGAGTATCGGCACAATGATATTGCTAGGCTCAACCCGAGAGAGTGTTGGTTTTGGTTAGCAGGGAGCTGTCTTAATCCTACATGCGGTTTCCGACATCCTGTAAGCTGCATTTATTTAGTGAGATATTTTGATGATGTGCTCTTCTATAGGCATGATAACTGCTTTGGCCTTCTATTGGTAATTTATATTAACTATATACTCGTACTATATAGTTTCTGCATTTTTTGAATGTCAGATCAGATGTATGTTTGGCAATTCTTTTCTGGTGCGGGGTATTGATTAAAATACCTCCATTATTTGTGTGGGGGTTTAACATGGAAAAATCATCAAGAATAGTAATATTTTCTCATGCTCTGTACCTGGTTATTTTCAGTGGATTAAACAAGGAGAAATTGTCAGCTGTCTATCTGTGATTCTTTTGGTAATTTAGGATGGGGAAATTAAGAACAGATAAGGCCTTCAGTGCTAAAAACTTTCCCTATCTGTGATTCTTTTGGTAGTTTAGGATGGGGAAATTAAGAGCAGATAAAGGCTTCAGTGCTGAAAACTTTTCTTATAGGAGTTGGTAATTATGCTGATTCTTTCTGCAGTCTATCCGTTTGCATTTGTTAAAGCCCCTTCATAAACTTTATATATGTTATGCCAGTTTTGTAGTACATTAGTGCCTTCAATTTGTATCCTACAAGTCTGTTTCAGAAAAGAGAACTCCAGGGTGGTCGAATAGAACTGTTTTATCGTGTAGTATGAGATCAATGACCCTTTCCTCAAATCTTGCAAAGCATCACTAGGTCCATTCAATGGCCGAACTAGCATACTGATGAAATGATTAAACTGAATTCTAGCAGTAAACCAATCATATGCATCTAAGATTCCACGTGTGTTACTCGTTTGTGTAGTATCATAGTCATCTGAGAGACTTTCTGATTTACAAGAGAAAAAATATATGTCACACGCTCAAAGAATGCAACTTGAAGATTTACTATTGTGCTTGTTTCTAATTTACTTGATGTTGAAAGCTAATGTTGTGTCAATGGTAGCTTAAACTTCTATAGTTATTGGTAATTTAATAATTTAGTACCACAAGTAACTTTTGTGCAATTTGAGTCTCTCATGCTAGACCGACTCCAGAAAATTCAACTGGGTTTGAACGGAATTTACACGTTTCTCGTATTTTAAACTGAACAATTAACTTCCTTCTCAAGAAAAGCATAACAATATAATAATACCCACTAATTATTATATCAGAATTACTAACAAATGATTATATGTAGCAAGCTTAACATTCACTATATATGAATTATAAAGCAATTTATGTCTGGTCAGACCATTTCAAGATTGAGTTAAACTTGTTTTTAAAGTTCTACCAATATTTGCAGTTTGGTACTAATAAAGACTTCAAAAGCTTTTATCATTATTTTACAATTAACAAACCTTTGGGTTTTTTCATTAGTAACCCTAGTTTATAACAGGGAGTCGGGGAATAATGGTGATCTTTCCTTCTGTACATACTGGCATTGTATGAAACAGTTTCAGATATGCTTGCTTTCTTGTATTGCTTAAAGATGAACTGGTCCTCAAGTCTACAAGTTTTTGCTTATTCCATCCAGTTTTGCATTTCATCTAAAGCTCTTTTTTTGTTACTTCTCAGCCACTAGAGACTTTTGCTGAGACTTCATATAAAGTAACAACTACATATGATAAGTCTGTAGCGCTTATGAGCAAGAAGACCCGTGTTCCTTGTTTTTTCTATCACAATGGGTTCTGTAGTAAAGGTGAGAAATGTGTGTTTCAACATGGACCAGGAGACGTAATTGCGAGGAATTCCTCAAGAGTAACTTCCGGAGTCACTGATGAACTAGCAGCAGCTCCAGAGATGAAGAAAAAAGAATTGAGTGTGGGAATTGAAATAGTGTCAGTACCACTGGAGACTCATCCTGGTTTTTGTGCGGAGATTGCAGCCAATGGAAATATCAAGACTCAAGTAAATCTCCATCAGACAACAAATGATCTTACTGTAGAAAACTTTTCTGAAAGTCATGCTCCAGAAACAGAGTTGGAATCTTCATTTCCTGCTCATGACAGCTTCCCTGCTGGAGGACGTCATTCTGACATTGCATGGAGTTCAGATGATGAAATGGAAGAGAAAGAAGAGGGGTTAGAAGCATGTCCTTGTTTTGAAAATCATGTTCCAGAAACAGAGTTGGAATCTTCATTTCCTGCTCATGACAGCTTCCCTGCTGGAGGACGTCATTCTGACACTGCATGGAGTTCAGACGATGAAATGGAAGAGAAAGAAGAGGGGTTAGAAGCACGTCCTTGTTTTGATGTTCTTTTCAACGATGATAGATCGAAGGAGTTGATGTATGATGAAGAAGAAGATAATGAGTACTTGATCCAAAACCAATACCATGCCATACATGTTGACGAACAGTATGTGGGCGGATATGATTTTGATGACAGCAATGAACACAATCCTGTTCATGCAGATGAAGGGCTTGTGTTTGAAGAAGAAGCATCACGTGTTTCATATTATGAGCGTGCTACTGGTGATTTTTTGAGAAAACCGAATGGCAATGCCCGTTCGAGGGATTGTATTTTGCATAATCAGAACAGAAAAATCAAGCTGACAGAATGGGGTGGTTTTAACTTTAAGGGTGCAGACCTCCGCCACTATCACTACTACCCTAGGAAGCATGTCTATAGCTGGAACCAGCATCCCCACCTGTACAGTACAAGACGGGCAGCATCGAAGCTGGAGATAAGTGCGACTGGATCACTACAACTAGGATGCCGGGCTTCCCTGAATGGGTTCCGCCGCCATAGAGGCACATCTAGACACATTCATATGATGAGCAGTCAGATGGAGGAGCATTTTAAGAGGAGGCGTGGCAAGCAGCTGCCGCCTTTTCAGTCTCAACGAGTCTCGGGGATTGGAGGTTATTGTCTGAAGAGAAAATCAAGCAACATGTTTATTGCACCAAAGACACTTTCCCAGATCAAAGAAGAGAAGAAGAGAGCAAAATGGGCTGTGAGTTTTGTGGCACGGCCCACAGGACTAGAAGACGAGTTTCAGGGTCCAAAATCTCTAGCCGAAATCCTCAAGGATAAAAGAAGGTAGGAGGATCCCTTCTTTTTTACACCATTGGACAACTAATGACGTTGCGCCCCGTCACCGTAGTTTCTCCATTTAGAATGATTTTCATCCAACTGTTACTTACAAAACCAATGCAAGCAGAACTAAAATGCTACCTGACCATAGCTGTCTATGACAGTCGATTCACTCTGAACAACAAATCATCCCAGTATATTTTGTGAGGAAATTTGAAGGATTAGAACAAAACTGTGCTGAAATTTGTTATTGTTTCATTGGAACTCCCGCTCCGGGAAGAGAGTAGAGTGAAAGACTACAGTAGGGAGGGAACAAAGTAGAGAGAAATTGTGTAATCCTTAAAAAATAAGTGACACCCTTGGAGCTTCTCTTGCCACAGAAATCCCATAAATTTTACCACAATTTTCATTTTTTTTCTAATTAGCAAGCTTAGACCTTCCGTAGGAGAGTCGGTCCAAGCGTTGAGCCTTCAAAAGGAATTGACTACTCAACTGATGACACACACGAATTTCTAGACCAACTGAATCCACCCAGGTGCCAAGTCTATGGCCTCCATTACTTTGAATAAGAAATTCCATTCCACCCTAGGCCTTGTTCATTTGGAGTTTAAAGCCACAAAACCTTCTTTACCTTGTGTCTTACGTTTAAGATAGTGATGAGATTCAAATGCAATTACAATATTATCAACAATTGATCTGCCCTGACACAAAAGAACCCTGCTTCACAAACACTAAAATTAAAAAGCATTCCTTTTAAAATATTAGCCAAGAGTTTGGCAATTTTTTTATATAAATAACAGTACACATGGTATATGGGATGCCAACCCTCCACCTTTGTAGCTTTATCTTTATTTGAGATCAAGGTTACCTTAGTAGCACTCCTCGTGAAACTCTCCCCTCAATCATGATCAGGATCAATTATATCCGGCCAAATTATCAAATTGAAAAAAAAAAGAGGACAGTTTACCAAATTGGTAAAAAAAAATGCCGGAGACAAATTGATAAAAAAGCAAAGCTCCGGAGACAAATTGTTCAAATTTTGTGAGTGAGACTTTTTTAGTCTGCGACTTTCTCGACATTTAGTCCCCTAAGTATTATGAAATTGACATTTTACAATGTTCTTCTAGTGTAATTTTATCATGAAAATTGAAAAGTGGATGCCTAAAATGTCAGTGAGGGTGTTTGACAATCAACGGTTGGCAGATTGACACTAATGGGTTCTCTTAGCTGCTTTAACTAACCGCTTTCATTAGCGGTATGAAGTGAAATGTTTATTACTACCTCCGTCCTGCTAAGATTGTCACATTTTACCATTTCGGTTCGTCTTACTTAGATTGTCTCATACCTTATTTGGTAAAGTTTGTGTGGCTCTAAATCATTCTTACTTTATTCTTTATCAATTCAATATCAACCACATAAACCACTTTTTATAGATTTGCATGTCACTCCCTCTTGTCCCATTGTTAGTGGGGCGGAGGGAGTCATTTAGATGTTTGTGATTAGGTGTTAAGGCGTAAATGAGTGTTAAGAATGTGAATTTAAAAGTGTGTGTGTGTACACACACACACTTTTAAATTCACATTCTTAACAGTCATTTACGCCTTCACAAATGTTTTGGAAAAAGTTTTGGAAAAAGTTTATTTCTTTTTCACACTTTTAAGATATATATATATATATATATATATGTATATATATATGTATATATATATGTATATGTATATATATATATGTATATATGTGTATAGATTTAGGATCATGTGAGAACTTAATCTTAGGAGAGTAAAAAAGAATTGATGTAGACCATTGGATCATCTAATAATTCCTCCGTGCTACTAAACTATCGAGAGGGTTTTTAGTCATTTTGTATATGTATTGATTACGCTTAAAGATAAGTTCCGAAATGTTAGGCACTACTTTACTTGTTTACTGTTCCACTAACTTCCTTTTGAGTATGTGTGTATTTATTATTGCTTGGTCATAGTTTATATTTTATAGCCTTCAATTTTCTACGTGTGACTTTTAGATGAGTTTCTTTTCAATTTAAGTGCTAGCATTTTTTAACGAATTTTATATTTCTGTGTGCTCTTTAATCATCATATTCTCTCTTATTTATTTTCAATTTTCACACTGCATTATCCGAATAAATATTATTTTTTAATTTAGTATATAATTGTGCACTTTTAATTTGTCCGTTACGGTTTTTACATCTTTAAGATGCTTATAAATTTGCATGATGACAACATATAGCATATTTTCAATTTGGTCATTTGGGGAAGTTTGATCTTCAACAAAAGGGCCGTTATGTGTTGAATGATATTGCACTCTGATTTATTTTATATGCACATGTTAAAAGTGCATTTCATTTTGATGTACTTATCATACTTTGTTCATGCACTTTTCATTTTTTTTTCAGACACACGTGACATCAGGAGACATCATTATAATGGAATTACCATGGACCTTTGGAAGAAAAGTGCATTATATTTGATTTTGTAAAAAGAATCATTGTAAATTAAAGTTTTAGAAAGTGTGTAATATAACAGTGCACTTGTTTATGTATTTACAATGCACATTATAAAAGTGCATTTTATTTTATAAAAAAGTGCATTTTGTTTTGTAAAAAAGTGCCAACGTATAAACTTCAAAAGTGTAATAATATAATGCACTTTTGTATATACTTAAAATGCACATGACAGTTGTTAGCTTATACTCTCGGAATTTCATGCATGTTCATTTTTATTTGAAAACATGTATGGATGTGCTCAATTGCATGCATAAAGTGTGTGTTTATTTAATAGAAATTGCAAGCTAATGACATAAGAGTGCAGTTTACAAACGATCAATAAAAAAACAGTGCAGTTTACAACATTGCAAATTAATTTACAACATAAGAGTGGAATTACCATGATGCATTCTCAACATCATCTCTTCTGAGAATACAAAAATATTAAAGTATTTAATTAAGTTGATGATATTGCATAATATTTCTATTAAAAGTGTAGCTAATATGCATTGAAGTGCACATAAAAAATATAGGTGAATGGGACATTGTATTTGAAAAAATGATTTAACATGAAAGAGAATAGAGATGCACAATTCGTATAATTATTCTTTTATAATATTAGTTATTTGATTAGATGTGGGGAGTACTAATTTGAAGAAAGAAATAAGATAACGTATTTTTAAGGGGGAGTTACTCCTTATTAATCATTGTCCTAATTTATAGGATTCCTTTCCTATTATAATGCTACGTGCATACAACCTATCTAAATGAAATTTACAATAGTGTCCCTCATTTAATATTGAGTTGAATACCTTCCATATATACGACCTTAATGATCCGAAAAAATGCAAATTAACTGCTTTTTGGAATTGTTTTTGGCCGTGAGATCAAGTGAATTGAAGGTGGGATTTTGTTCTTTTTCCCTCTCCTAAGAGGATGTTCTCACAGGAACTAACCCCTATGTGTATATATATATATGTATATATATATATATATTAATGAGTTTTGGAAAAAGTTTTATAAACTATATTTACTTTTATTTTATATAACTGCTACCACTATCATTTTTAACAAATGTACATTTACACGAGCACACATATATAAATTCATTTATTTTTAGTATTAATATTTTAAATATGATTATTTTGTTAGTGCTTTTAAAAATGCTACTCCATATAAAATGAATAAAATATTCATATTGATAAAATAGTAAAAATATTCATAGTGGTTTTATGGAGTATAATTTTTTAAATACTAGTAAAATTGTTAGTTTTCACAATACTTGGAGGACTAAATGTCAGGAATTTCAAAGCCGATGATTAAAATTGTTTCACTACAAAAAATTGACCAATTTGTCACCGGGGCTTTGTTTTTCCCACCAATTTGTCTCGAGAGTTTTTTTACCAATTTGGTAAAACGTCCTTTTTTTCTCAATTTGGTAATTTGGCCACAGTAATGTTGAAAGCCCCTGAATTAAGCCCATCCAAACCCGGAGCCTTGTCTAGATGCATTGCAAACACTACTCTCCTCATTTTTTACTTTGCCACCAGTCTAATCAGTAAATTATTGTAGCCCGATGACGCCTTAGCAGCCAGTTCATGGCTCCCTGCAAATAATTCATCGGCACACCGTTCCATCGGAAGTGTATAAATTAGTGTTAGACCGTGGGGATGTGGAGCCAGCATTTCTGCCAGCCTGCAGGTGCAACCAACCATGACATTTTGTTTGTTCTATAAAGGGGGAGGGCGTGCTACACCATTAGCGATTGCTTTTAGTGCAGTGATAAGAGCAACGATCCACAAGTGGTATCAGGGCCAAAGGTCACAGGTTCGACCCCCAACAACAATATGTTGCTCAGTTATAGGTTGACAGGTGCTCGGGGGATTGTTAGGTCGTGGAGATGCGGTGCTAGCAGTTCTGCTAGCCTGTCGATGCAATCGACCGTGGCGTTTTGCCTGTTCTATAAAGGGGAAGGGCGTGCTACACTATAGGTGATTACTTTTAGTGTAGCGGTAAGCGCAACAATCCATAATTAGCAAAATAATAAACCACTATAGATCTATAATGTCCTCTATCTCAAATCCATCTCCCTTCTATGATGTTGTTTGACAGCACTATGGAAGTATTTAGTTTTAATATCTCCCTATTTTAGTCAAAACTCCTTCGCTCATTGTTCTCAAAACATATTTTCAGTTGTTCAAGATGACCCAATAATGTGGTTTCACTCTCTGAAATTCAACAATGCTCCTCCGCTGCCAGCCCTCCTGAAATATGCCAATATGTGCTTGCAAAAATCAATGCTAACATGGAACCCGACTTTCCTTCTTCTCCTCCATGGCTCCAACTCAGATCCACACCCCAAAATATGTTGTCAGATTACTAAATGTGACTTTCTCGGCCAATAGCATTGTACAACGTCCTTACATTCTTTATCATTTAACCACATGTTTTCAAATTTGAAAGATTTCTTATAACATGGCCCACCCAAGACCCAACCCCAAATGTGAAACATGAGATGACCACTTGACAGACCTTTTAGAGACGAAGCATAAATGCCATCAAATAAATCAATCATGCCTCATTAGCTAGAACATGATCTAATTTCTCTTCAAGACACCAACTAGTAACACGTCCGCGCTCCCATCTCCATTGATAACCTTCAAATTGCATGTTTGTCAGACCACTACTCTATGTATATAACATCTCTAATTGGATGTTGTTGTATTATTATTTGCATAATTTAAGTTACGTACTTTCTCTTATTCAAAAGTAGTTTAGACAATCAATGAAATGTTTTAATTTGGAAAGATTCCAATAATTTGCGATAACCTGTGACTGACCTTAAAATCAAGAAACCCTTTGCCATTGCTCTAAGACATGATACTTGGGGATA